CTCTCTCTCTCTCTCTCTCTCTCTCTCTCTCTCTCTCTCTCTCTCTCTCTCTCTCTCTCTCGCTCGCTCTCTCGCTCTCTCTCTTTCTCTATCTATCTATCTATCTATCTATCTATCTCTCGTTCTCTCTCTCTTTCTCTTTCTCTACGTGTGCACACAGTCAACGCGAATGTCGCCATGGAGGTAATTAATTATAATAATCGGGACGCGCCGGGAGTTAGAGAAGACCGAGGAACAATAGCAATTTCGAGTTTCGGCCCGACCAAGTCTCACTAGTTTACCGAGATATCTCGTTCGAACTAGCTGGAAATTTCGACTTGAAAGGACTCGAAACAAGAAGGAGATTCCTACCTTAGAGAACAGCCGGGTCCTTATCTCTCCTTAGCTGGTCCGCCGAGGATCTGCAACAGGAAGTAAGACGGAGGAAGTAAAAATAGAGTCAATTGTCATGCCCGATCGTAAATGTAGTCAAACGAAGTTCCTACAAGTACGCGCGTATGCTGTATATTATCGCGACGATTTATTATAAAATTGCGTTTTGCCGCAACGTTTGAGCAACACGATTTCACGCGCTGGAACAATATTTACGAAACACCCCTCCCGTTCTCTCTCCCCAACCCTCACTTTACCATGACTCGTTTATGAGAAACCGAAGGTAACGCTGCGACAATAACGGCGGGGGGTATCCGGCGGGAAAGGATCACCGCGCGCGCGAAGACATTAATCCTTTGTGCGAGGCGTATCGCGAAGTTGGCGAGGAGTAACAGGCGGAAATAAGCGATCTCTGTAACGGGGGCGAAGAACAGAAGGAATATACCTGTATAAGCCGATACCGAAAGAATTAACCGGCTACGGGGACGCCATTTAAGCGAGTTGTTGCGAACTTTCGTAAGCTCCGCGCTAACCAGAGAGAGAATGAGAGAGGGAGAGAGAAAGAGAAAGAGAGAAGACGGGGGAGATGGAGGGGGGAGAAAGGAAGAGGCAAGCGTGGCGAAACAGGGCTTACGGACTGTAATACTCGTGACTCCCGCGCCGTCGACCCGAGTCTTCGCGGCGCGCGAATATTCCTGTCACGCCACGCGGCAGATAAGCAATCATTGTTTCCTATTCCACGTCTGTCACAGTCCGTTCGAATATCTCGAGCGACTCCTGACAAGCGCCTGCCTACACGTCCACCTGTCTTACAGTTTTAACTTGCTATTTTCCCACTCGCGAGACGAGAGAGAAAGAGAGAGCTGGAAAGTTTATAGGGTTTATAGTCGACTTGGGAGTTCGAGTTCGAAGAACTGAAAGTTAATCATTTACGCGTGCACACCGACTCGTACCGGAAATTATAAGCGGATAGTGCTCGGAGTTCCTTTTGTATATCTTTCTGCATATATTACGAAATTTTTTTACATTCAATACTGGCGGGTTATTCCGTGTTACTTGAATCGAGGGAACGTCTTTTAAAGGGATCTTATACCTTTATACGCCGAAAATATAGACTATATTCAGGAATTGTTCTTTGAAAAAACTCAGCGATATATCGATTTGTGACTTGGCGTATTTACTGTGTAAGTACAAAGAATGTTAAAAATAGAATAGTTGTTCAGAAATGTAGTTTAATGCGTTTTTCTAACTATGTTTTTTTTCGAAATTGGCATATGAGAGTTCTCGAAAAGACCATTGGATCGATTGGCTCCAAACTTTCCATATATTTTCGACACATATATCGAGGGCATATATCCAACATTTTACGAAAAATTAAAAATTAACGAAATAGATAGCATCGATATATAATGGAAATTGTATTGTATTTTTCTCGCTGAGAGAACCAACTTTTAATGTAACGCAAAAATATTAAATTTTCAAATCTCAAAATATCTAAGGTACATATGCCCTCAATTTGTAGACCAAAATCCGCAAAAATAAAATTCGGAGTTATAACATTTTCAATAAAACCTGCCGTACAAACATGGTTGAACCACCGTAGAAGGCGATATATAGTCTTCCTTTTGTTTTATTCTTGTCATTCTTTTTATTCACGGGTCTTCCTCATAATCTCATAATCTTCTTTTATTAGATTATTTCTGTGTAACCATATACAGTTCTAGACTAACATTTGCAAGAACAGAGTATCCAAGTTAGTGGTCTTTGTTAAGTTAAACAGTCAAGTTAAACACTTAGTGTCAAATTAAGCATTCAGTAGTAAAAACAATACATTGAACATGGAGAGGTGGAATGATTCAAGGTAAGAATTTTTTAATAATTCAGAAACTTGAATTTTGGATAACTCAGAAAAGACATTGAAAAGAAAAAAAAGACGTCCATTCAATGGATTTGAAGCAAAGAAACTGTCACGATTATAAACAACTGCTTGATGATGATCTGAGTATTATTAAGTCAATATAGGAAAATCTTATATCTAAAGTAAAGGCAGTTATTGAAGAAAACGTTGCTTGGTAATTTTCTTTCTTTCTTTTTAAATAATAATATGAAAAACAGTAATAAAAGTTTTTGAACCGCGTCATTCGAAAAATCGTACTAAAATAATATAATTGTAAAACCAGCATTGTGAAAATAGCTACGTATATAGTTACATATGTTTCAAACGAAGGAAACCTGATATTTTTAAAAACAATGCAATGGATATATCGAAGGGCATAAATTCTCATAAATTCGTCACCTTCGAAGGCAGCTATCGCATCAGCTTGACCAAGTGCGGTCAAGAAAGCAAGATTTCATTTAAAAAATCAAAGAAAGGATACTTATAAAGAGCTAAATCATCTAAAAACAACACTTTATATAACAATACTTTATATAACATGCTTCTCATTTCAATGAAAATAATTACATATTTTGAGTGTAAATAAAATACATTTGCAGACTAATATTTGCATTCTCTTTTTGTACATTTATTTTCTCTTTGCACATTTACTCTTTAATAAAAACCCTTTATAATTTGTAATTTCCTAATCGTGTAAAAGTCATTTAACGTGTTAAATTGTTGAAACATGTAAGTAAAAAGTAAACGCATCTTCGTTTAATAACGAAGTATGTTATCTTGTTATACATCTCCGAGACGTATCCTCATTATTACGCGTAAGATCCGTATAAAATGAACATATTATACACTTATATGTATTAAAATAATACGGATAAAATGGCTTCTGGAAATTACACAGAGAAAACGAGTCATATTAAGACATTGAGATTTGTAGCGTAGTTTTAACAGGTTTAAACCGTGTCTGTTTTACATAAATAGTATCGAACATTTTTTGAATACCAAAAATATCGACGACTAGCTTTATGGCAGTAATATTGGTTACATTTCAACTTTTTATAATGAGCTTTATATAATATATAAATAAAAGAATAAAGAATCAAATAGTCATCTTCATAAAGTCATCAAATATGGTTAGTAGAAAAATTCCGATATTGGACAGTTTTTGAGCCGCTCAGGTGTACGTAGTCCTTTAACTGGCCGTCTTTTTCGCGAATTTCTCGAGAGCAATCGGGAAGGAGGATCAGCGTCTGATTCTTTCACTATCTTCTTTTCTTCCACTATGCTAGTCTATCTGTGAAACTGCATTAAGTATACAAATCCTCCAGCCCGGAGAATAGTCCGTATTATAAAAACACATACCTCCACGCGCATGAAATGGCGAGCACCAATGGCGCAAAGGTATGAGTTCCGCATGAAAGACTCACCGCTCAACGAAGCTAATGCTCGTTCGCCCACGACTCCCGCTAAGAGGGTGGAGACCCAGATTTCTCGCGGTTTCCTCGTAATTTAGTCCCTTCCAGCTTCCGCCAGCCAGAAACAGCGAACTCGGAGCGCAGAAAGGAGCGAAATATCGGGGTCACGTGCACTTGAGTCCGGAGCTGGTTGCCGATCTCGCGATCGCGCGAAAGACCGAAGAAGAAAGGGGTGGAGAACGATGGAGTTGTTGGGGGGGG